CAGGGGATCAGGTCATATGGCAGAGGGAAGGCTGGGATGGGCATGATTCTGGAGGCCATGGTGTCTATATGTTGAACGAAATAAAAGGTCAACTAGGACCAACAGAAATGAAAGATCATAGACCAAACGTAAATTAAGGTCAGAAGACCGAACTTAAGATAATGCAAACAAAAGGCAAAGGTGGGGCAACCAAACATAAATTAAAGTCAGCAATTTTCAGCATGACAGCAACAGAAATTAAGGGTCTGATGACCAAACTGAAATTAACGTGACTGGTGCAAGGTCCTTGTGACCTGGGCCTATGTATGCAGAAAATAATAAACGATTAATAAAGACCAAACGTAAATAAAAGGTCATAAGACCAAACAAAAATTGAGATCATAAGACCAACTACAATAAAATGGTGAAAGTAAAATAAGGTCCGGCGACCAAAAAGAAATTAAAGTCATCTTGACAAACAGAAATTTTGGCCCGTCGGCCAAAAAGAAATTACCGTGTATAAGCATGAGGTCTTGTAGACCTGGGTGCACAAGCTGGAGTCCTAAAGACCATCGGTAGAAACAAAATAAAAGGTCGGAAGGCCGAACAAAATAAAAGGTCACATGACCAAACAGAAACTAAGGTCAGAAGATCAACTTCAATAAAATGGATAAATTAAAATAAGGTCCGACGACCAAACATAAATTACGTCCGATATGACAAAACAGAAATTAAGTGGGTCCCTCTGACCAAAGAAAATTAAGTGTTGCAGGGGAAACATTCTGAGGTGGTCCAATGACCTTGGTGTGGTGCAAGAGGTCCATAGACCATGGGGGCATTTGCATGAGGTCCCGAAGACCAGGGGTGTTGGAGCATACAGCATGGGGTCCACAGATCATGATGGGGCATTTGCATGAGGTCCGAAGACCGAGGGTATTAGGGCGTACAGCATAAGGACTTATGGGCCATGATGGGGCATTTGCATGAGGTCCTGAAGACCGAGGGAGAGCATAAAGCATGAGGTCCCACAGACCATGGTGGGGCATTGGCATGAGGTCCTGAAGACCAGGGGTGTAAGAACATGCAGCATGAGGTCCCACAGAACATGACAGAACATTTGCCTGAGGACAGAAGACCGAGGTTGTTAGTGCATACAGCATGAGGTCCCACAGAACATGATAGAGCATTTGCATGAGGTCCGAAGACCAAGGTTGTTAGTGCATGCAGCATGAGGTCTCACAAACCATGATTGTGCATTTGCGTTAGGTCCCGAAGACCATGTAAATGAGCGAGAGATCAGGCGAACGAGGTAAAGGAAATGAACCAATAAAATTGCATTACATCACGGCCAACTTGAATAAATGAATACAGCAGAATATGTCCCAGGACCAGCAGATAGAGAATTGGCAGATAGAATTTGTGATAATATAACCAAAATGGAATATTCATGGGTGATGCGTGATTGAGGATTATAAAATGATAGGTGCGCAGTAGCGGATGAGCAGGTGTCGTGCATGCAGCATGTAGTTGGAGGGCCATGGATGACTGTGCAAACGGCATGAGAACGCGTAGAGCATGGGTATTGAGGGAATGTGGGATAAATGACAGTCATCCTAACTGAACTGAGGCAGACGAAATTGGAAACATGAACGATTGCAAGGAACATAGGACTGTACAACAAGCAAATTTCAGGTCAGCAAAGATGCAGTAGCAATAAGATAACCAAACGGAAATGGCAAATGGCTGATGCATGACTGCTGCTCCATCGATTATAAAGGTGGGCAATAGGACAAACCATAACTGGGATTTGAGTGAAGGTAGCAGAAGAGGAAACTACGAAAGACCACCACCAGCTATTTGCATGAGTTAGTGAGAATTTGGGGAGCAGAAATTTGATTTATGAATTGGTGCTAGAATGGAGCCATACCTAGCTCCCCCCAAAAGCCAGTGGGTACTTGCTACCCACTAAAAAAAAAAAGAAAAAAACAATTCTGCCCTGGTCCTTGATCCCTGTCTTTGTATATTATATTGATCACTTTTTATTTATTTATTATTTATTTACTTAATTTTATTGTTATTTATTTATTTAATTAATTAATTTATTTATTTTATTAAAGAGATGAATTTTTTTATTTATTTGTTCATATATATTTTCTTCCTCCCTGTATTGCTCAGCCTTAATAGATATTACCAACACTAATTGGGAAGTGCAAAGCTAGATATATCTATCTCAACAATAAGTGGATCAAGATTATTGCCCAAATAGATGTAGTGGGTCCTATGATAAAAGCCCTAACGCTGAACTGGACAAGTGTCACTAAGAGGATTAGAGATTGCATGGGCATCTTTGAGTGTATGTTGACTGGCTACATTTCCCCTACAGGCAGTCGACGAATGATGCTCTGGATCACTGCTAAATACGAACAGAGCGACATGGCACAAAGATGCCATGTGCATGAGGGGGTGATCATGCAGCTACTTGCTGAGCTCAAATGAGTTGACAACTACTATACATGTCCTTAAAGTGCGTGAAAACAGGAAAAGATCGGGCTGATTAGAAGCTGCCCTGCATACTGCTCTGCATGACGGGATTGAGGCATGTTCCGGGCCTGATTCATGGATGAAATCGTGAATGGTGAATCTGAGATGGATATAATTGTGAAGGGCAGCTTGAATTAAGTTAGACCATTTATGACTGGGAATTCTGATTACCAGAACTGATCAGTGTGCATACCACTGAACTGCAGACAGACTGGAAACATGACAATTAAAAAATAGCACAAGGGCTGAGAAAACGCCTGGAGCGCTGCCAGGAAGGAGCTGCTTGCGAGGACCTCTTAATAGAATAGAAGAGAGCGAACCAGATGATTGAGCCCCAGCCGTCATGACCACGGTGTGTGTCAGAATGGTGGTTCAAAACATCGTCGCTACTAGGTGAAATGAATCTCACTAAATAAAAGCCCTGCAGGAGCAGACTTACTGACCCTTTCTTAATGTGCATGTTAATCAACCATGGTGGAGGGAGCCCAAGACGTGCCAATGGCTGCTTCTGTATTACTGTCCATATAATGATGATGATAATAATAATAATAATAATAATAATAATAATAATAATAATAATAATAATAATAATAATAATAATACAATAATACATTGTATTTGGAGGTGCCTTTCAAGACGCCCAAGGTCGCCTACAGAGCATGGAAGAAAAGATCAGTAAGACATCATTAAAACAAATCAACAACATAGGAACAAATATAGGCTAGTGCACAGTGTCCACATAGAGTGAATATGCCAATTTTTTTTTTTTTTTTTGAAGATGCGGTATTGTACAGGAAGGCAATGAAGCTGGATGAGAACGGGGTGATGAGGTCAGATTATTAGATACAGGTGATGATCCGGGCGGCCGAGTTCTAAATATGATAAATGACAAGAATCAGGCAGATGGAGGTAATGGTACTGCAATAGAGGCCGCCATACTTATCCTTTGAGTATTTTAAATTTTTTATTTATTTATTTTATTGCCACCTGATGAAACAGCTGTTGTGAGAGCACGTGCTCAATGAGGTGTTTTTAACTGATTGTGCTAGAAGTATATTCTCGGTCACCTGAAAAACCCGCACAACCCCACTGGAGAATCGCTGAAGGGCTTATGATTGAAATGATACAGGAAGTGTGGTAAGATAGCGGCATGATGCGCACGTGACTTTATTTTAAGAATGAAGACGAAGAGGAAAAATCGCTTAGCTTAAAGCGAATACCATAGAGAACGGAGGGCATGGTGTGCCTGCTTAATATTCTCACTTTGATGAAACCCAGTGAGCCGAAAATTGAGGTCCGCCACTATTGCAGTATTACGGTAATTGTTTTCCCATTTAAACGGGGGTGACAGGAGAATAAATAAATCACTTCATATTAATGATGCAGTGATAATATTGTCTGTGGCACTGAATGGAGTAGTAGGCTGATCATATGACACACACTTAACAGTGAGGGAGGCTGATGATCGGATGGCTTTAACCGCCGGCTCTCTTGCCGTGAGGGATTCGGGAGCTCCAGGGCTGGAGAGGCTGGAGACAGAATGAAGCGCTGGTTCGGGGCGGACGCCAGCTGAGTGGACTGGTCGGCTGAGAGTGGTGGCTGCTGCATGTGGAGGCCTGCGGTGATGATGACAATGACGAGGCAGAGGTGAAGCATGTCCAGGGACTGAAGCAAGGTGTGCGTGGAAGCTTGGCCGGAGTAACGGGGGACGGCGCGTGGCAATCCGGGTGTACGTATGCAACGTGTCCCGGAGAAACAAATCATGTTACGTGTAGTTGGGCCCACATCTTGAATCCGTACACAACACTGAGCTTGAGACTGAAGAAAAACGGAGGCAGAAGACGCGCGTTGACAATATGACTTATAAACAGGTGAAATCGCCTGAACTGGAGGACTTGATGAATGAAAGATGATTCAGCTGCTGCTGTACAATCAGCAATAGACTGCAGGAAAAAGGTAAGGTGAGCAATTGTCGGCGGCGGCGATTCTGCCTAGAATGACAGCTGAAAGCGGCAGAGGAGAGAACAGATTTAAAATCTCATAGTGACGACCTGATTGGCCGATGGAGGCCGTGGCTAATTACGATAGGACAGCTAGAAGAGTGCACGCCCGGTGGCAGCTGATTGGAGGAAGCAGTGGGAGTGAGAGGGAGAACTGTGAATGAATAAGCACAGAAAGGTCTTCCTGATTGAACTTACGCTGAGCTTCATGTTTACTCACTTGGTGGATAGCTCACTTGACTGGAAAAAACGCTCACAAACCCTGTCAATCCTATGAACTATGTAAACCAGAAGATCCTAGAGAGGAACAGGATATCCTAAAGAGGGAGAGACAGAGAGGTGAGACATGAACAAGTTTACATTCACTTGTAAATGACAGCTTCAGATATTTGGAATAGATTTCAGCAATATTATATTATTATATTATTATATTATATAATATATTCAGGGAATTATACTCACCACTCAATTTGCTTCATATGAACTCCAGAAATAAGGCAACCTTTCACAACTGAAAGAGTAAGGGGATCCTGCAATATGAAAATAAAAACAGCTTTATGGCCTGTTTTTATCAAGTCAAGATGCTACATATGAACACCAAACCAAGGGGAAAAAAGACCTCCTTGAACATAACAACCTTTAGATATTGAGGAAACATAACTTTTTGCCTTTAGGCTTATTAGAAATGTACAGTTAATCATTACTTTAGAAGTCTATCAAATAACCATTGTAGAAAGCAAATAAGTAAATGTATTCAACACAGTTCTACCCCCTTGGGTATATTCTATTTCAAGCATAATGTATCATCAACACCCTAAATATCAGAAGTTTAGCATCTATTGTTAACTCCACCACTTTTGACTGCTCTGTGTAGAGCAGTCAAATTTCTTTTATCCTTTTTATTGAAATCATCTCTAATATGTATTTTCTGAATTTCCCTGATATAGCAGCTCAATTCTAATTCTTCAGGTTAAAAAGGTGCTCCCTTCTTTAAAAAGCTATAACATGCATTTGTATCAGGCTAAAAACAGGGCTGCTTTATGAACTCATGCAATGCAACTATGTCTTAAAAGCATTTGACACGGTCTTACTCTTATTCAATGTGGGCATATCTTTTGCTAATAATAGCCGACTTTTATACTTTTTTTACACTTACTTTAGCAATGCTTAAATGGCAAAGCTTTTACTTATCATTTAGCCATTTTAAAATCTGTTATTTCACTTGTTTGAGTGCTTTTTAAAACAACCACAACCACAGCATAGAGGGTTGCTACAGACTATGCAGCCTTTCAACACACCTTTAACCTAAATATCTAAATTGCTATGATGTAGCCTAAAATGGACACTTGCTGCTCATCCAACACTTCTCAGCCTTGACCGTTTGCTGTTTTATCAGAATAAGGTGCTGTGGCTGCCAGATTTTGGTAAGTAAACAATACCAATTAATATTGATACTAATCAATCGCCATTGCTCATCATTCTCATATAACAGAGCTAACGTTACCTCCATCACCTCAAAGTCCCTGTATTATCCTAACGTTACTACCTGCTTACCGGTTGTACTACACTTTCCCGCTCACTCTGTCCCTCGGTTTCCCTGTCAAAAGCCTGCATCTCTGGCTGCTCCTCTCCCTGCCTGCTGCTGCTGTCTTCACCTTCAACCTGCTGTTGCTGGAGCATTGCTGTGACAAAGGACGTGGAGGCTACAGCAGTCCCTCCAGCGAACATGTCTGTGATCTTAGCACATTTTGCAGCATCTACAGTGAGATTCTTAAATCTCTTTGCACGCAACTTCTCCGCACCCCCTTTCTTTCGCTTTGGTTTCTCCATGTTGCCACTCCTTTAACCCACACGCTCAACACTGTGAAACTAGCGGGAGTTACAGGGGACAGCGCAGGGAAGGGGTGGGGCCGCTTTCATACTATATCCTGATTGGTTCAGTCCACTGTCTATATTGAAGATGGACCAATGGGCCGCCCCCCTCTAAATTGTGGGCCTGTCTCTTAGAAAAAAAAAAAAAAAGGAAAAAAAAAAATCCAACAGCATCGGCCCCTGAGGACTGTCAGCCCACCGGGAAAATGCCCGGTATGTCAGATTACCACTCCAGGCCTAGCTCCTGCACTGATTGACACACCGGTAGAGTATCTGCACTGATTGACGCACAGGTGGGGCTCCGCTGCTTCAGCGATTTCATTCGCCAGTTCCGATCCCCCGCTCTCATGAAGTACCTACTGTCAGATGGTGAACACAGGCAGTCTGAAACTGGTCACTGTCGCCGCCACTGGGTCTCCTCCGCTTCTCGAGCTGCCACAGACTGGGTTTCCCTGTTGTTCCTGAGCAGAGCTGGCCTCCAGAATGAGTTATCAACACTCGCTAACTTCTGACTAAAGGAAAGTAGATGTTTCCTCACTGCGAGTGTGTGTGGCTAAGTTTGTGCTAGACGGCGCTGAGTATGGTTTTCCTGTGTGTTGAAGGCATCGGATCCAGAGGGCGGCGGCAGGCCAGAGGGGACGACTGTTTGTTTGATGGGCACTAAAACTCAAAGGGAGGTTATCACGCCAGTGCGCGTGCACGTGCAGTCTGAATTTGCCGGTCTTGGTGAGGCTGAGCATTGATTGTTTTTCCTTTTCCCTGGCAGCAGCGTCCCAGCTGGATAGAGGTCCCGGCGTTGGAGTCTCCGGACTGGATTCTGCCGACCAAGCAGCCACGCTGTACGGCCCCCTCAGCTGGCACGAGGGAAAACCAGGAAACGTTTCAGAACTGGACTGGACTTTTTTAAGTAACATTCCCTGGACTGTGCTTCTTCATGTGCAACTGAGACTGTTTTTATCTTCTAATGTTTAATCTGATGGCATTGCCTATGTTTTAGTTTAGGAATAAACAGAGCTTTATTTAAAAATCTGGTCTTTCTCACTGTGTTGGTGTGGTCGGGAAAAAGAACCTAAAAGAGCAATAGCTTTTAACCTATTACATTACAATCGTAGCATGGGTTAATGTCCGGAGCTTGAGTTATTAGTGGCTCGGTCCCAGCAATGGGTCAGGCGTTACAGTTGTGTTAGGTGAGTAGCCCGGCAGCCCAGCTAACATTTGCAATTAGCATTGTAAAATGTAGCCAGGCTAAAACATCGCTCTCACTCACGGAGAAGAGTAGGAACTAGCACTAGCCGGCATCCGGCGATGGCTCTAGCCGAGTCGGCTGCCACTGGCTACTGGAGTTACTTACAGCTATGGAGCGCTTCTACCAGCTCTTCTAGTCACTGAGCCTCGCCTCCATCTCAGCAAATATATTACATTTATTACAGGTACCATCATCATTGAAGTAGGCAGGGGAATAGCTAAACACAGCAGAGACCGAGAGTGAGTGAAAGACATCGCTAACTGCTAAACTAAGTTTAGACGAGGCGAGTGGGCGATGGGGGGGTGGGCGTGAAGAGCAGAGGTAGAGGGAGGTGTGGCTCATGACACACTTTGTTTTGGTCTACAGGCAGTGCACAACAGCAAACCTAGCGGTGAAACGATTTCGCTTTTTGCCCCTTTAGTTATTTTTTTAAGTCTTTCATTAATGTTAAGAGAATTTTCCATTTTGGGATTTTACAACAAAAATTACATTTAGACTGTAAAAGATGGCCTTTGGCACAGTTTTTATGGCGGCTTTTAATCTTGCATCAAATAGTGAATTGCATACTATATGCAGACTGTTGCAACTCACTAGCAGTAAATATTGTACTGGTAGTATTGAGCTACAAGAAGCAAGACAGTTGCAAGCCTTCAAAGTTAGAGTTATGTAAAGCTTTTAATGGTTCAGTTAGGTCAGAGAGATGTGGTGACAACAGCTGCGCAAGGGGGGCCCAATGTTATTCTTTTTCATTGGGCCCAAAATTCCTGGCGGCACCCCTGCTGATCAGATCGACTGATCAGTTTTCCACCCTGCAACTCAAAATTCCACGTACTGCTGACAAGGAAAGGAAAACAAGCAAAGTTTTTTGATGCTGTGAGGCAATGCTCAAATATATGATAATGTTTGTTACTAGCCAGCCATGATTGTGTCAAACAGACGGGTTCGCATTACATCACCTACCAGTGGGAAAATTTATTGTATTCTGGTATTTGAAGGTTTTCTACCTCTTGAGCTAAATCAAATGTCACAGTCATGTTTCTCTGTTTTCTCTGGTCATGTTGCACTGATTTCGATTTATGTGCGCCTTTCTACTGCAGAGAAAGCCCAGTTTTATGAAAAGAGCATTCTTCCAGCAGTGAAATACTTCTTTAGGTTACTGTAATCACTTTGGCACTCACTAATTTCAAATTTGAACAAATGTCACAACTTTTTTTTTGTATTCAACACAAGTTCAGCTGCAATTATATCTATGTAGTATGTATTTCATGATTATACTTTTTAAGAAAATAACAGGCAAATAAAACGTTTGTAAAAAGTAGTTTTAGAACTGTGTTAGAACTCTCAGTTAATCTAGAAACTTTGCAGTAACTATTCTAAAAAGTGATCTCCCAGCTTTGGAGAGCGAATTGAATAGAATACAGTGGGTTAGGGTTACGGATAAGGATGATGTACATACAGTAGTTGTGATGAATTAATGAATGCAGTTGAAGGGATTGTTGTCAAGTTTCTAAAAAAGCCTATCAACATGTGATCCAGAACTGTAGCAGTGATCCAGCAAAAGACTGGGATTAGACCCATGATGTGGAGGCTCATGGAAGTGTTGATGTGTGAGATGATTCTGCTGGACAGCCCTTCATCACTGACTCTCCTCCTGCCTAAATTTAAAGTTCTGCTGCGCCAGTGGTCCTGTGGTGTGTGTGTGTGTGTGTGTGTGTGTGTGTGTGTGTGTGTGTGTGCATCTCTAGTCTGCACACAGAAAGCAGTCGCCATTGAATGCAGATGCTGTTAAACTGGCTGTGTACAGGCAGCTGAGGTAATGTGTTTGATTTATGTTTAATTACTGCTTGAATATGAATGTGTTAGAATAGGAATAGAATAGAATAGAAAAGAATGGAAAGAACTTTAGTCATACATCCCCCAAGGGAAATTCAGCTGTCCAGCAGCTCATAAAAGACAAAAAACAACAACAACCACATTACCCCTCATCAACAACATAGTGGTATTAAAACAGACGTAAACAAAAATACGTTAAAATAAGTGCATAAATAGTATTTAAATTAAAATAAAATTGCTCATTCCACAGTCCAGTCCAGTTGTGGCTAATGTGATGTGTGTGTGTGTGTGTGTGCGTGACTAGATTCAGGAGGTGTTAAATAGTCTTATTGTCGTAGGTACGAAGGATTTCCAGAAACACTTCATTCTGCAACGCAGTGAGATGAGCCAACTGCTGCAGCTGCTCCTCTGTCACTCCAAGTGGCTGTGGAGAGGGTGTCTGCTATTGTCCATTATAGCTTTCAGTTTGTTCAATGTTCCCCTCTCCACCACAGTTCTTAAGGGGTCCAGTCTACTGCCGAGCACTGAGCCAGATTTTTTTAACCAGCTTGTCCAATCGCTTGGTGTTTTTGTCCATCAAGCTGCCTCCCCAGCTCACTGCAGCGTAGAGAAATGCAATGGTCACCACCGTGTGATAGAACATGGTCAACATCTCTACACACATAAAAAGAACCTCAGTGTCCACAGGAAGAACAGGCGGCTCTGCCCCTTCCCATAGAGGGCGTCAGTATTAGAGGACCAGTCCAGCTTCTCATCCAAGAGGACCCCCAGATATTTGTAGGTGTGCACCACCTCAATGTCCTCCCCATGTATGGACACTGGTTGATGGGGAGGACCTCTTTCTTCCGAAATCCACCACCATTTCCTTGGTTTTGGCTGAGTTCAGGTGGAGACAGCACTTACTGCACCAGCTCCTGAAGATACCCACAAGGTCCCTGCAGTCCCGCTCCTGATCGCTCCCGATACAAGACACAATAGCTGTATCATCAGTGTATTTTTGTATGTGGCAGGACTCTATGTTGTACTTAAAGTCCGCTGTGTAGGGTGTGAACAGGAACAGTGCTTAAACAGTTCCCTGTGGAGCACCAGTGCTGCTCCTGAACATCCCAGAGACACAGCTTCCAAGCCTGACATACAGAGGCCGCTCTGTCAGGTAGTCTGTTATCCAGGAGGTCAGGAAGCAATCTACTCCCATCCCCTCCAACCAGTCTCTCAGTATGGGGGCTGGATAGTATTAAACACACTTGAAAGGTCTAGGAAAAGGATCCTCACACAACATACCGGCTCCTCCAAGTAGGTGTAGGCCCGATGCAGTGTGTAAAGAACCACTTCTTCCACTCCAATGTGCTCCTGATAGGCAAACTGGACAGGGGGTCCACAGCCTCAGTGACCTCTGACTTCAGGAAATGGAGGACCAGGCGCTCTAAGGTCCTCATAATGTGTGATGTTAAGGCCACTGGTCGAAGACTCCTGTTGAAGATCCACTGAATGGGCTCCACTAGCTGGGCTGCACAGTCTTTTGGGAGCCTTGGACACACTCCATCCTGGCCTGCAGCTTTCCCTGTATGCAGTCGCTTGAGCGCCGCCCTCACCTCGTCTGCTGTAAAGGGCAGTGGTAGTTGGCCGTGTGTGGTAGATGTTGTAGCTGTAGCTGTAGCTGCAGTAGTGGGGGAGGGGCTACTTCGAGGTGGCAGTGGAGCAGGAGTAGCAGCAGCAGGTGACACTGTGGAAGGGGGGATGGATGCAGGGGTAGGGTGAACACTGCCCCCGCCATCAAACCTGTTAAAGAACAGGTTGAAGTTGTTGGCTTTGTCCACAAAATCATCCATAACCATAAAATCCCCCGTTATTGCAATGAATGCACTAGGGTGCTGGGTCTGAATTCTAGCAACAATTTCATGGATGACGTCACACGCCACTGCTGTTGCTGCCCACGGTGGAATGTAAACAATAATGGTGACAATGTGTGAAAACTCCCATGGCACATAATACGGTCTAAGACCGACTGCCAACAGTTCAATATGACACCATTTATTGTTCAAAAGCAGGATCAATCCCCCACCTCTGTTTTTGCCGTTAAACCTCCACATCTCTGTCTGCTTGCACAGTAGAGAAGCCAGGTAGGTTCACACAGGAGTCAAGCACGTTGTCATTCACCTGCGGACCTCGTTGGTGATGAATAAGATGTTCCCCAGTGTTTTGTTACACAGGCTACTTAATTGCCACTGCTGCCTTACTTTGCCTGTAGTCTGGTTTCAGTTATTTTGTATGGAGTAACTCTGTTTTAATTGTAGCTTTTCATTTATTCTGCTCATCAGTTAACTTTGGTTTCTTTGTATTTTGCTACTCTGCTTCAGTTGCAGCTTTGCATTTATTTTGGTTTCTTTTGCCTGCCTTTAGTTCCAGTTGAAGTTTTGATTTTGTTTAGTTTCATTTGTTTGTTGCTTGAGCCAGCTGTCCTGCTTAGGGTTGTTTTGTAAGAGCCACTGTTTAAACTAAATGCTCTGTTCAACTTCTGTGTTTTCTTTGATAGTGTGCTTTTTAAGCACTGCAGTGTTGTAATTAATCAGAGGAGTGCATTGTGAGGAGTAGTTGCAGCAGTGTGTGCACAGAACATTTTGTACAGCAAGTGGTTTTCTTTTTTTCTGTAATATCTAGTGTATCCCTTTACCTAGAGTGCTCATTTGCTTTTAGTTATTTTGTTTTTTGTTTGTGTCCTGTTTGCAGTGTTAATAGAGGTTACAGGCTGCTTGTGCTTCAATAACTCTCGCTGCATTTACCTGCAGCCTTTCCCTGATAAATGGTGTACATTTTAAAAAGATTTATTTTTCTTTTAAACTTGA